GTCCTGGATTAGGCTGAAGTGGGACAGGGTGTGCGGCGAAACGGCTACGACCGATATGAGCTACAGGGACGACCAAGGAGACAGCACGACCAGCCCCACATGTTATGGTTCAGAACCAGCAGAAGACTGGCGGACCCAACGCGGAGGCTAGCTCCTGGCCGCAGCCCCGCACGCTCGCCGTGCACGGCAGCATTCTGAACGGCACACCTGCTGCCGGGGTGCAGACAGAAAGCCCCGCACGCTCGCGGTACACGTCAGCATTCTGAACGGCACACCCGCTGCCGGGACGCAGACAGAAAGCCCCGCACGCTTGCCGTGCACGGCAGCATTCTGAACGGCACACCCGCTGCCGGGGTGCAGACAGAAAGCCCGCAGGAGGGCACGACGTGGCCAGAGGTGCTCTTCTGGGAAACCCCGGAATACCCTCCCCTTATGGAGTGCTCCCCCCTCGATTAAATGAGCCTCCACAGGGAAGCAATTCCGACTAGGGCGGCTCCTCGGCCACGGGGTAGCCTCCCCTCCGCCCCACTCCTTCACTAACAGACCCTCCTTCACTGTAAACTATGCTGGATTGCATCTGAATACTTTCCGGGGCGAAGCCAAGCACCCACCGTGGGTTGTGGACCTTCAGGTCCCCCGACCCCCGGACACCTGCATCATAAGGAGCCCAGCAGAGCTGCCCAGCGGGCGGACCCCTCTGAGCCCCCTCCTCCGCCCGTGCAGGCATGTATGTGCTGGGTCTCGGCTAGGACATGAGTGCCCCCAGCTCACGAGGGCCAGCTTTGCAACCAGAGTCGGTAAACAAAGAACACCGTGAAAGTCGCTTTGGACCAGACACAGCTGAGCGTGTACAGCAAGAGCAGAAACACGTGTTTGAGCCGGTGGCTCTCAGGCAGGAGCAAGCTGGTGTGTGGGATGGCAGAGAAGAGCATGCCTTTGTGGGGGGACAGCTTCTCTCCCGGCAGGGGGTGTCACTCCAGGGCACCTGAGGACAACCCCAGCTTGGCCACCTCCGGTCCTCGCTTATCTGCTCGCTGACATTTCCTCTCACTTCCCTCCGTCGGTTGGCCGGGTTTGATCACAGTGTCTCAGTGTATGACATTCCCTTGGGGGTACTAGAGCTGTAGTAAATACTCACATATACAAACACGCAGACGTGTGCAAAGCAACAGAAGGTCTGATGGAGACACAGGCAGCGCAGACAGGCACACGCTCCCTTCTCTGCCTGCTCGTCACGCAGCCCTTCCTCCCCGCGACCACGCGACTGCTCCCCTGGCAACCAGCCCCCCATCTTTAGGGGCTTTCCCCAAATCACCTCATTCACATAAACAGCTGTGGCTGAAAGGAGCTCATCAGAAATGACGAGACACCCATTCACCTGTACGGCTCTGAAGAGGTTTCAGGAACTGAGGACAAGATACCAAACGTGATAACAAAAGAGGTTCCCGTTGCTCATGTCATTCAGGAAATTCCAAGGGTTGTGGTAGCTCTGTGCCAGGAATGAGGATGAAGACCAAATGCATATTTCCTGTTATACATTACAACGTCACAGTTAGGGGTACTATACCATAGGGCCAGCACATCATAAGAGATGGTAAAATAGGTTATTAAGTTTAAATGGTAAGTTTATTTAAATAAAAATACAAAGCAAAGAATAGTTTAGGACAGGGCAAAAAGTCATGGCAGTAATATGCAGATGACTGAAGTTTGGGAGATGTTTTCTTCATCTGAAGTGCAGTTTTTAAATTTTATACATTCAAAGTTGGAAATAAAGATAAGCAATAAAGAACGTGTATCAGTCCCTCTCTCAGTGAAGACACTGGGGATTCATTCACTCATTTATTCATTCATCAAATATTTGCCAAGGCCTAGTAGGTGAAGTTTGGGTAGACAGCGAAGATACAGGGCGTCCAGCTGCCCTACAGTCTGTCAGGACAGAGACCAGGAGGCCGTGTCACAGACCAGGCTGGGAAGAGCTGACGCGGAGGAGCCCACCCACGGTCGGGCTCACTCCCTGGGAATGTGCAAGCCAAGCAACGTTTTGAAGGACAAGGGAAGACCAGGCCAACGAGAAAGGGGAGGGTCTTCCGGGCGGAGCAGACGTCACTGCGGAGCATATCCCTTAGTCTCAGACTCAGCCCCGCAGGGTTCGGCCCGCAATGGCTGACACCAACCTCCCAGCCACAGAGGCTGCCTTAGTCCCGACTCTCTCGCTGGCGGTGTGTCTCCAGTACCTGTACCGAGGTGACCTGCCCAAGCTCTGCTTAGAGTGTTCACTCAGTAACGCAGGCTGTGGGTTCTTGGTTTGTTCTCCTGGGACCAGATGTCTGCTCCCTGCCCACCTGTCAGTAGGAATTAGGCATGAGCGGCTGGGGTCCCCTAGGGGCTGGCCTTGAGGTCCTGACGGGTCAGACCCACACTGCCTCCAGACACCCCGCTATGGGCGGCCAGCAGCCAGCAGCTCCTGAAACAGACCCAGGGGCAGATTCGGAAGGAGAAGGTTCTTGGCACAAGTGCAGAAGAAAACAACATGACCTCATTGTGACCTTACCAAGGCCTTGGGCTAATTATAATAAAATTTGCACTGCAGTGTTGTCCCCTCCCCCCGGGGGTTTTTCTGTATGCTTTCTGGGTAAGGTCATGTGCAGAAAAAAGATGGTTATGTAACTCTTCTCTGTCAGTCATCCCTGGATGCAAACTAAAGGTTCCCCCAGAAAACCCCTCATTTAAACCATATAACCCGGAGAGTTCGGGCCATTGTCTCTCTTAACTGGCCCGCTTGTTGCTTGGAGTGTATTTTCAATAAATCCCACTTCGCTTTACTTTCATTACCGTTGGCCTTAAAACCTTTTCTTTGTCAACGAGAAAAACAGAGGTCCCCGCTGGTAACCCCATTGGTAACCCACCTTGGCCTTGACCTGGACTCCTGCACTTCGTATCTGCTCGGTCACCCAGACCCTCGATGCCACGGCCTGCTGGACCCCACACCCGGCCAGGGCCCCGACACTCCCGCTGCAGCGTCCTGAGCCCGAGAGCCTCCGCGTTTCCAGTCCGCACTCTGTCCAGGTTCTCTCATGCTGTTACACGCACCCTGTCATTTGGTCCCTGGAATAGCACTCTAGGATGTCATTGTCACTTCCACGTGACGGTTGAGAACGCCGGGCCTTCAGGAGTTTGAGGAACTTACCTGAGACCGTGGTGGTAAATGGAGCCCAGTGCACGCTCGGGCATTCTGACACCGAGGCCTGTGCAGTTAACGCTGCGCTACTCCACCACTCCCACGACGAAGCTGCGGACCCACTGGACCCCAGTGTTGGCCCGCGCTCAGGGTCTTGGGGTGTGATCTGGGTGGCAGGCCGCCCTCCGTCGCAGTGAGGAGCAGCCCCAGAATAAATGAGTGCCCTGGCCCTACCCTTTCCTGCCTTCCTGTCCTTTCCAACAGTGCAGAGCTCCCAGCATGCCTCGCCGCCAGGCCCCCTGGGTTCTAACCATGGACACACTCAGGGAGGTGCAGTGTCTGGGGGCAAGGAGCTCAGAATCCCCACTCAGCTATCAGCAGGGGCTCCACACTGCTTACACTCTCCATCTTTGGAAGCCCTTCCATGTTCTAAGTCCTGGGTTCAGAAATCCCGGCTTTCAGGTCGGGCCAGAAATCCTGAAATAGTCGGTGCCTTGTGGAGACTGTGATCTTCCCGACGGGATGCATTCCACCCGGAAAGCGCTTGCACTCGGTGTCTGGGCCTTGGAGACAGGCAGGGAGTGTGGGCCCCACCGAAGGAGCAAGAATGGCAGCAAAGGAGGAGCCTCATACCCAGTCCTGACTCCTGGGTGAAGGGCTTCCCGCTCGGCCCTATGTCAGGCCCATTCGAGACATGGCAGCCTCAACCAGGGCACCACAAAGGGTCCCAGTGTGGCTGGACGAAGGGTCCCACACCCAGAGAAGATGTCATCGAGCTCTGGGGAGGGTGGAGCTGCTGCGGGCTGCCGAGGCATAATGCACAAGCCCTGTGGGTGGCATAATGTGGTATTTATGTCCCTCACTATGCAGAGAGGGGACAGGAGGAACAATCCCGACTCTGTCACCAAGGTCCTCCGGAGAGTTCAGGCCTCACTAATGAAGACGAATGGAGGGGGAATCTGCCCTTCGTGGCTGCTGCCTTCGCCACATACATATTCATGGGCTGGAGGGCAGCGCCTGGGGACGACCCATCCTACGTAGAGATGGCAGAGGTGTGGCAGTGCCGACCCACATTTGGGGTGGGGTGTCTCGCCGGGTGAAACACTCTGAGCAGTGACTTAGGGCACTCCAGGAAATATTCTTAAATGTATGGGATTTCCAAGGCGAAATGTATTCCTTTGCCTGCTAGAGACAGAGTCCTGGTATGAGCTCGAGAACCCCAGAGGAACTTAGTTCTCAGCTGAGTTCCAGCAGCAAGGCCGGGTTTGCTCCTGCCCACTCAGTGTCCACTGATAGTAAACCTGAACCACTTCTGTCCTGCCTGGCGCGGCCTTCCGGGGTTTGCCCGCGGTCCCCGGGAGAGTTAGTTACACCCCAAGGCTTAGGACCCACGCCCTTGTTTGTGACTCTCCTTCCATCTGGCTCTTCCATGACGTTCCCGCAACTAGAATTTTTTGGAAACAAATACTTGTCTACCACAGACCTTGGCAGGAGATGACACATTGTGGAGGGAAATATGGACCAAGAACTCGGGCATCTGCACTAGTGTGTCTTCAGAAGAGAACAAATGTTGACCCAGAGCCTCCAGACACCATGGTTTCGCAGTTAGTGGGTTTGTTCCAGACGCGCGGATGTTTTGATAGGAAGTGGTTTGTTCCCTGTTCCCGTGCACTGGGCCTCAGCCGCCAGGCAGCATAACCCGAAGGACATGCTCTGAGCCATAAGTCAAATCTCTCTGCAACGGGCCTCCTGCCGGTTCTGCTGGGCCGCAGGCTAGCACTGAGTGCAAGACAGACGTCCCCCCGATCCCAGAGAGCCTTACCTGCCTCTCTGACATGACGTACAGCTGCTCGTGGTCCTTGGAGAAGGCCATGTCCCGGAGCACGGGGCCAGGGTCGACCACCTGCATGGTCTCGTACTGGAGGGCGCTGCCCCTGGGCCCGTCCACCCGAATCTGCGGGGAAGAGGGAGAGAGAGCCAAGGTGAATGCGGTGCTGCCCTGCCCACAGCTGGGCTGTAGCCAAGACCCTCCGGCGCCTGGGCAGAGGCAGGAGCGTCTCCACGGTGCCCCGGGGCGGGCCCCGCAGGGCAGGGCTGAGGCTCCCCAGACCTCATGCTGTCAGTGGCAAAAAGAGGGACTGGGGAGCCCACAGCTGGCTTCACCAACAACTGGAGTCCTTTTCTCCCCAGTTTCCCTGTGCCTCGGGTAAGGTTTAGAGAAGACGATGGTGCTGGTAGCGGGGGGCGGGACTGGGTATGGGGGGACAGTGGACACCTGGAGCTGCCTCAGGTCCGAGGGTCATTCTGTAACAATAAGGCAGAGTGTTTGCCATATTGTGAGCGCAGGTCAGGTGGGTATAACAGTGTGGGCTGGCCCTTCAGAACCGCGCCAGCTATCCCTGCCGCACCTCAGAGGGAACAGCAAGGAGCCACCTGCGGAAGTTCTACGCTGGCTGGGTCTGTTCTGGCCACTGAATCCAATGGCTCACGCCTCAGACTGTGGAGTTGATGGGGGGGGGGGCGGTCCTGAAACCTCATCTAGGTTCTAGTTGTGTCCCCAGGGAAGGGGGTGTGAGCATTCCGGGAAATTGTGCTTCGGGCATGAGTCATCCTCAATCTTCCCAGGACGAAAACACTTAGCAGATAAACTGTCCCCGGGCAACCCACAGGTCCTTCCTAGAACTTCTTGGACAACACAGAGACAAACAGGAAAGACTGCTGCCCATACCCTCCTGACAGAGGATACATCTAGAAAGCTGGTCCCCACCTAGAATCAGAATCATCACAAGTCTGAGCTGATAGATGCGACGTGGTCACCGCCCAGATGACCCACACAAGAACGCCACCCACACAAGTCAGGACCAAACGTTACCAGCAACATGGGAAGGGTGAGGGGAACACTGGAGGGAGACAGGGAGAGGCGAGAGCCAGGGCACCCCCAAACTTGATTAGATACCACATAAGTCTCTGTAAGACACCCACAGAGTAATTTTAGAGATTTTAATAACAAACCTAGAGAAAAAATTATATCCCGAATATTCCCACTCTGCACTCTTATTTTTAATTTTTAATATTTAATTTTTAACCTCTTATTAGATCAAGGAGACAGAAGAGTTAGCCAGAGGAACTGCATTACAGCAGGGACGGCACCTTAATGAGAACTGATAGCATCAAGTCACCGGAAAGTCGGCTGCCTCTCGTTGCTGTTGAACTCACTGAACTCTGGTATTTTGTGATTTATGTGTGTGATTTCAGGTTTGTCCCAGGCTCTGTTTGTTTGTGTGTTTTATTTTTAAGCATTATTTTATTTTTTTCCGACACCATTTATCCCCTCTATGCCTTCTTACACCTCCCCCGTAAGCATTATTTTTTAAGCCCTTCCTAGACATCAGGGAGATGGTTTTGCACACAATTCCTTGCTGATATAACCTCTCAGTCTTATGACTTTGGTGTTCATTTGTCATGACTTGCACGGCCCCCCCAGCATCTAGGCCATCCTCTCTCGCCTTCTGGACCCCCTCTGCTTCCTGTGGTAGTCCTTGATGGGCAAAAGCAAATCAATGTATTCTCACTCTCTGACCACAGTGACGGAGAGAACGCAGGCCCCGGCCAATCAACATGTGTGACCAGAGCAAAGCAGGGACTGAGGTTCATGATGGGGGAAGGGGGACCTCTCCTCTCACCCTCAGTAGGATCAAAGAATCAGGGAGCTCAGAGAACCTGGTCAGCCCTTCTGTGCTAAGGAGGGGAGCAGGAATCAGGGAAGATCGGGAGCAGGGATAGAACAAGATATTTTTGGTGATGTCCCTGAGCCACTGAATCAAAGTAACTCCAAAGCCTTCTCTGCGTCGGTCGGGACTTTCTTGTTACTCAAGATACTTCCTTATTGTTAAAGTGATAAAAAGGCTTGTGCAACATCAAAAGTCCTAACTGATATACAGATAATAGATGAGGAGAATGAGGCCCAGGTACACTGAACAACTGGCCTGAGCTATAAAGGCTGGGGACAGCACTGTGACGCGAGGCAGTGTTCCTCCAGGGGTTTCCAGGTCCTTCCCGGGGTGTGGCCAAGGCAGCGAGCTGAGGCCTCTGTCTCTGGTCCGCATGGTTCCAGTGGCGTTTGCCAGCCATTCCTGAGCATGACACTCAAATACTTGAGTTTGACAAATAATTTATTTTAAAAGTGAAAAAATATACGGACGAAGTTAAAACTCCTCTTTGCTAGTTTCCCATTAAGCTCATTAAAAAAGACAAAACCCAAAACTAGTAAAAGAATTAGAGAGAGATCTGTTTAGCTCTGAAAATCCAAATGCCTCCAATTCCAGGAACCCTCCTGTTTCTGGGTCCACCCCCAAGCCGCCAGGTCCTGATTTAATCTGAATGCAATGGGAGTTCATGCACAGCCAGTTGGGATCACCACCCACGTCTGACTGCACAGGCTTTACCTCCAGCTGTGAGTCACCTCCGCAACCGCATCGGGAGGTACCAGAGTGATACTGAGCACCCTGTCTGGTCTCCAGTCCCCTCAGGTCTCTGGCAGGAGCAGGTTCCCCGAGGGAATTGGATTTAGTGCCTGAGTGATCTTCTTTATCATTTAGTTCCAATTCTCCTGCTCTTTAGGAGGGGGGGACATGCTGGGTGTAGGTGGACATCAGAGGAAGAGCAGGGACAGAGAGATGGACCAGGGAGCACCCACAGGGCAAGTCCTCACCGGCTGGCCCCTCAGGGAGGCAGGATAGGGTTATGGCCCCCCTTCCACACTCGTCGGTGAAGGAAATCAGTTTCTGGAAAGACAGGTCTGCCCCGCCCCCGGCCCCACCCAAACTACCATTTGTTTCAGAAAACAGAAAGGAAAACATTCATTCATCCATCTGCTGAAAGAAGCTCACACAACACACAGGTAAGAGGCGTTTGTGGTGGGATTTGCTGGATGTGGACAATCATAAAACAGGAAGGATGGACGGCAGCTGCCGGCTCTCAGCCCTCGCCGAGACAATATACATTGTTATTGTATATAAATAATAACAACGAGAGTGCTTGATGACTCCGTAGTACTATGTGTCAGCTAGGATGCTAGGCATTGCACATGCATTTACCTTCTCATTTAAATCTCATCATCATCATAATAGGGCGATCACTTTGCACGATGACAGAGGTCATTAAACATAGTGTGGTGAACACATCATCAGGTATATAAGTGTAGAATCACTAGATCATACTCCTGAATCTAATAGAATATTGTATATAAAACTATAATTTAAAAATAAAAATACTCAATCTCAGAACTCCATGAGATAGGTATTAATATTATTCCATTTACAGGAGAGGTACAGAGAGGGTACAAGCCATGACCTTGACCCATACCAAGGTCTGACCGACTCCAGCGTCCATGCTTCTGTGCATTTACATGCGACACTGTTGGTCAGATAAACCTGAATCCCTTCAAGGACGGAAAGTGGTCGATGTTGGGCAGACGCCCCGTGGAGGAACCTCCTCGGTATGTCTGCCGAGTTCTTCTGGGAGAGCATCATGAATCAAAGAGGTGCTGTAAATTTTCAAAATTATGATCCCTTATATTTTTTGTTTTATACCTTTCGCAGTTTCTTAAATAACACTGTTTCATCTGACGGCTGTGAAATTTTTATGATGCTGACTGCTAGCACAGTCATTCTCATTTTACCGATAAAGCAGCTGAGATGGGGCGGTCCGGTGCCTCGCCCCAAACTCAAGGATAAACCGATGACCTTCGGGGCCAGAACCCGGGTCTCCTGATCCCCCGCTCAGCACCTGCCTCGTTGCTACTTAGACTTTTCCAAAAGCCTTTGACAAGGTTCCAAGGAAAAAGGTATTAAAAATAATGGGTCTCCCCGGGACTTGGGGCAGTTTGGCCATGGAGAGAGAACCAAGTTAGAGACAGAAAAAGACACGTTTCTGTGTGGTGTGGGAACTGGGGGACTCCCAAGCACTACTGTTATGACTGGTCTTATTAACATGCTTTATAAGTGGTCTGGAGAAGGGAACGGAAAAATGTGCAGAATATTCTAAGCTCTCTGGGATAGCAAGAAGGCCAAGGACAGAGATGGACTGCAGGACAATGGCGCATGCTCGGCGGGGCGGGCGCTGCACGTGGGCGACAGACCGGGACTGAGGTCCTGCCTGCAGCCGTCGGCACCGTACCCAAGACGTGGTCGGTGCTCAGAGTAGCTACTGACCAGCATTGGCGAATGTGCAGGGAAGAGAGAATCCGTGCACGCTGTTGGTGGGAATACAATATGGTACAGCCACTGTGGAAACAGTATGGAGGTTCCTCGGGAAAGTACAACTAGAACGGCTGTGTGACACAGCTGCCCCAGTCCTGCACAGAGACCCACAGGAAATGAAGTCGGGATCTCGACGTGATGTCGTACTCCCATGTTCACTGCCGCATTGTTTGCGATCGCCAACATACGGAAAAACCTGAATATCTGTCCATGGAGTTAAAAAACGTGAACTATATATTCAGCTTTAAAATAGGAGATCCTGCCATTCGCAACAACAGGGACGGGCCTGGAGAACACTGTGCTGAGTGAAATCAGCCACACACAGAAAGACAAATACTGCAGGATCTCACTGACGTGTGGAACCGAACACTGTCAGGCCCCCAGGAGCAGGGAGTAGAGCCAGGTTGCCAGGGGCTGGGGGCAGAGCCGTGGGGGGATGGGAACCGGGAGCTATTGGTCAAAGGAGACAAAGTTTCAGTTATAAGATGAAAAAGCTCTGGAGCTCTAATGTATAATATGGGAACTATAATTAATAACACTGATTTGTATATTTGAAGTTGCTAAGAAGACAGAGTAACAAAAAAAGGGGTTCTACGGACACTAACCTCACATGGTGAATTCGGTTCTGGTGGGTGTCACAGCCCAAGCATACAATTTCTTAGTAAAAGGGTTGTCTTGGCTCTAAGCAAGCCTT